GTCCTCCAGCCTGAGGCCCCAGTTGAAACCCGTTCCCGCTTTGCTGCTCTGGATGATGTGCGCCTCCTGGCCAACGGCCTCCTCCAGCTGGGTCAGAGTCTGCGGGAGTTTGTGCAGAAGACGAAGGGACAGATAAGTGACATCATCCAGAAGCTCAACATTTTTGACCGCTCATTTTACCAACTGTCAGTGCTTGCGAGTGAAATCAAAGAGGAGGAAGAGGAACTGAAGAAGACCACTGTGGTACTGAAGGCCAACAACGAAGAGATCAAGGGCCTGTCTGCTGAGATCAACTCCAAAGTGGACAGCATCCTGCAGGAGAGGGGCCGCCTGCAGAACAAGCTGGAAGGCCTGGAGGAGAAGCTGAGCAGTCTGTCACACGGCCTGGTGATAAGCAAACAGGTGGCAGAGGTCAATGGCCTTAGGGTGAGTGTTAGAAAGGAGCCAAAAAAAAGCCAACACAAATCTCCATTTCTCATTTTATACTTAGATACTAGGATGTGCTTTTTGAATACATACTTAAAGACACTATTTAGTAAAAGGTAGTATATATCTTTATCCTTAACTACTATAATTATGTATTCCCACAATTCCAACTTTCTTCCCTGATCAGGAGGTGATCAACACCCAAGAGCAGAGCATCACAGAGCTCCTGAAGGCTGTGAGGGAGCAGAGTGACCAGCTCAACCACCAGAGGGTTAAGATCAAGATTCTGGAGGAAAAGGTAAATGTTAGGGACTGAAGGAAAATAATTAGACTGACTGAGAGACATCTGATCTCATACACATTAAGCTATATATATTTTTAATAAGTGGAATTCGGTGTTTGGGGAAAATATGACTTTACTGTAGCACTTTATTCAAAAAGAGAGAGCAAGAGAGAGTGGGTGGAATATTCATCATTTTGTTTTATATTATTTTGAGATATTGTGGGCGAAAATGTTTTTTTCTAAAAACAAATATTAATAATTCTCAGGAGAGTATTATATTTACAAAATGACATTGAAGTTCCAGCTCCCTCCCCTGCCACAGTCCTTTTCAGTCTCTTATTCAGTCAGAGTGGATGGGTTCCACTAAAATGCAGAAACATGTATTTCTGAATATTATTTTTGCCTACTTTTTGAGTTTTGTCATCATCATGGCATTGCACTGAATGTGCTGGTAGAAAGAAACTTTAATGGATATTTGGTGCTGTACTATATAATTTAGACTTTAAATCTTTGGAGAGTGTAGACTGACAATATTCTCCATATGTCAAAATCCTGTCCATATTTTTAATAACCTCCTGCAGTGCCTCATATATTTGCATTTTCCTTGGTCCTGAGAGCTTAAAATTTATATTATTACTGTAAAAAACGCTGGAAATCCAAAGATTATTATGTGTGGAATTACTATTTAATCCACAGTACTTCTCCAGAGTCAGTCTGAGGATTGTGTCTGCAAGCTAAAATGTTTGCCTAACTATTTTCCCCAGCTCACAGCCAACACATTGACCCAAGAGACCATTGAGAGGATGCCTGAAATCTTCAACAGTGAAGCACCAACACTCACCCCTTATCTAACCTCAAGCTCCATCAGCACCACCGAAAAAATGAGTAAGATAGAGAAAGATTAGGAAATGTTGAGAATGATATTAGGATTTGGTAACTTTTGTCATGCAGTATATCAATAAGTTCTGAGGTTTTATATTCAATTTTACTGTGTCAATGCTTATGATTTCAGAATGTGTCCAGACAATTTCCAGCAATTTTCTGCTTCACATTCATTCAGTTTCACAGCAAGGAGGTGCCTCTTACATTCACAGTTTTAGCACTTAGTGAGCAATCAATGGTCCTCTACACATTTTTCCTGCTAATGCTGCCGATATGAACTGTTGACCTTCTGGTCACAAGTGTACTGCTCTGTTTCAGATTGCCACTTTCCAGCTATTCTTTAATGAGGGTGGTTTCAAGTTTGACATTAGGTGTGTGGTCATTTTTAAATAGATCTGCCATCAGACTGCAGTGAGCTATTCAACAGAGGGGAACGCATCAGCGGTGTCTATGCCATCAGACCCAACGGAACGGAGCCCTTCATGGCCTTTTGTGACATGAGAAAAGGTACTGAACTGTTAAACTTTACCACAACACAGGACTACAGTTTATTTTTTAATTGAGGACATGACATTTTAATCCTTGTTTAGTCTTTGTTCAAGTCCAACTGTCTATCATACATAACATTGTAATCCTTAATGTAAAGCAGCAGCAGCAGTAGCAATTTTGGATTTGCATTAGTATAAACTTAATACAGCTGTGGGACAGTAAACGGTAAACAGCGAGGCTGAATCAATGAGATAAAATTACAAACAATAATGTTGGATTACATGCATGAATCGTTTCTGTGAATGCTTTATATATATATATGAAAGAAATTTGAATCTAGCGTGGCAATGGCAGACTCCGCCACTAACAATGAAAACTAATATATAGATAGGTAAATTGTAAATACATTAAATAGCTACTTTTGAAATAAATAAACTATGACTATAAAATCTTATGGATTGTAACTTCAAATGAAGTCATTGATTTTCTTTTTTCTTTTCCACTTAGACCATGGAGCTACAGTCATCCAGCGAAGGACGGATGGTTCAGTGAATTTTGATCAAATCTGGGAGAAGTATGAAAATGGGTTTGGAGATTTTCAAGGTGAGACACTATTCTCTTTTCAAGTTTCTTAGCGCCATTACCATTTTCTAATGTCCACTCTCAACTACCAGATTCGAAATTACTTGGCATGTATCTGGATCATAACATTTGTAATTGTATAACTTCTAAGTAAAAGCATGCACATCTGCTTGTAAGTTTGTGTGCATCACATCTCAAAGGTGCTTGTCAAATCATGTCAGCTCTGACCTCTGAATGATGTCTCTCTCACAGGGGAGTTTTGGCTGGGTCTCAGAAAAATCCACTCTCTAGCCGCTCAGGGCAACTCTGTCCTTTACATACAGCTGGAAGACTGGAGACAGGTCAGACACTTCATCGAATACAGATTTCACCTTCATGGTCCAGACAGCAATTATGCCATTCACCTTACACATTTGTCTGGAGATTTGCCGGACCCCATGAGCAACCACACAGGCATGATGTTCTCCACTAAGGACAGGGATAATGACAACAACCCGGACTCCAACTGTGCCCACAACTACTCAGGTGCAGCAGATGTGCATGTTTATCCTCTTGTAATGCAAAGCTGGGACAGGGATTAATAAATACTTGTCATCCAGTATCAGCTACACATCATGTAATTTCTGTCTTCCTACAGGTGGATGGTGGTTCAACGCCTGTGGTGATGCCAACCTGAATGGGAGATATTTCCACATGAGGCCTAAGGGCCGCTCAGAGCGTAGGAGAGGGGTTCAATGGAGGCCAGGCCATAAGGCTTCTTACTCCCTTAAGCTCACCCAGATCTCTGTCCAGCCTGTGGCTTCCCCCAGCACCACCTTCTCCACCTCTTCAGCTTCCTCTGAGACAGGTGTCTTACAGTGATCCAGTACCAACATTCTTGAAGGAAAATACCGCATTAAACAGTAGCCTATTCAGGAGAGCCTTGGCAATGCTTCATGTGGGCAGCTATGGTTAAAGAAGGCTTGGGCAGAGAAGAATATGTTTCTTCCAAGTGTCAAGTGCTGTTGTGTCCTAAACAGAGAAAGCCAAAAGAATGTATTACTGTCTGTGCCAGGATACTCTCTAATGTAATAGAACACTTTTAAATGCAGTCAGAAGTAAGCATAAACTCTATGTATGTTCACTGTGTCTCAGAGGTCAAAGGTTATGGAGAAAAAAAATTAAAAAATTTTAATTTTTTAAAATTAAAACTTACAGCCATATATGAGCAGTTTTTATGTTGGGTCACATTGACTCTCAGTATACAGCAGATCACCGCAAAAATCAAAGGGCTACCCGAGTAAACATTGCTTGATTTTGAGGGTTCAAAAGGCATTAAAAGTTGGGAACACTCATCTTTACTTTATACTTTATTTTTGATACATTTGCTGTGTTTTATCAAATTAAATAAATGAAAGTTTGATGGGGACTTTATATAATGCTAGTGTTCATTTAGGTGTGGATATCTGTAACTGAAAATATCAATACCTTGTTTTTTTCCTGATCAAACCCTAACCGACCAAGACTAACTCATATAATGTCCTCTTTGTTATTATGGGCTAACCCAGGTCCTGACATTAGTCAGGCACAGAATGATCCTTCTATGTCAACAGAGATTTGGCCCAGAGTAATATCATTCTTGAACTAAAAACAATAACTTTGTTTTGATGTCATACTCTAGTAAATTAATGACTTACACATGTTCACGATATTACTACATACTGAAATTTTCAGAATGTTGCACTGACAGGTTGTGATGCCAAACTATTTTGTACTGTGTTTTTAAAGCCCTTAATAAACTCTAGAGGGCAGTATTGTTCTGTCTCATGCAGATACATTCCTCTCTGACTTGATTGTACTGCATGTATAATTAGATTTGACAAATTGTTTGTTTTGTAAACAGATACTTTCTTAAAACCACATCTACATTCAGCATGTGCTTCTAATGACTCGCAAATTGCTTCTTTCACTCTCTGTTCACACACTCAGCTCTAAGAACGGGTAAATATCCCCTTCCTAAAATAGCGCTAAGTGCATCTTTGATGAGAGAGGTCCTCCTTCTTTTTTGCATACCATTACTCTGAGCACAGCTGCAGCCTTTCACAGATGGACAAATTGCTCCCATAACACCTCAGTACTTCCACACAGACACACCCAAACACATACACTTCTTTGTGACTGGGCCTGCAGCCTTGACAGTGATCTCCCTGCACATGTGTGAAGGAGCGTCTTCAGTTACTCCCCCTGCCTCTGCACACACATTAGTCTGAAAGGTTATTTTGAGCTTCAGAAGTACCACTGTAACCCTGTGCTTCCAGTGAAATAATAGGAGGAGTCAAGATTTTACCCTCCCATTCTGCCCCCGTGTACCATTCCCCATGTCAACTGACTGGGGATTTCCTTCTAAACAGCAGGTTCCCCAGTTCTCTACGCTGTTGCAGTGGGTTGGATTCTCACTTTGAAACAATGGACAACAGTCCCCTGCAGGTGTTGACTGTTCCTACTGCCCCCTACCCTGACCAGAGACCCGGCACCAACGGCCTAAGGAAAAAGGTCCATGTGTTTCAGTCCAGGAGGAACTACCTACACAACTTCATCCAGAGTATCTTCTCCTCCATTGACCTACGTGACCGCCAGGGATCAACAGTGGTGGTGGGGGGAGACGGTCGCTTCTTCAACCGAACAGCTATTGAGGTCATTGTGCAGATGGCAGCTGCCAACGGGGTCAGTGTCACCGTGTGAGTGTGTTTGTTTGTGTGTGCATGCTAGTAAGTGTGTGTTTGTGTTTGATCAGTGTCACCTGCCCCCATGACCTGTTATTACCCCTTGTTGTCATGGGTTGTACCAGCTCAACTGCAGCCTTTGACACAGGGTTTTATTTAAAGGGGGGGGGGGAATAATTAGATCATTAAATATGATAATATATAATGTATTATAGATCAGATAAGTTAAAAGTACAATCGTTGCTTTTAATCTTATTATTTATTGGTGGTGTTTTGTGTGCATGTAAAGCACTTTGTAAACATTGTTTCTATATAAATAAAGTTATGATTATGATTATGATTATGGTTGTTATTATTATGATTATTATTATTATCATTATTATTATTGTTGTGATTAGTATGGTTATGATTATGATTATTATGATTATTATTAAAATGTAAACCAAATCCAAAGAGGTGATTAAAACACCAAATTGCATTGGATTTTAGTAAATTACATTATTATAAAACATACATCAGTATAATATGATGAAGACACGATCAGTGAATTGAATTCAACTTTAGTTGACATTGAATACTACGGAAAGTTAGTAGTGACAAAATAATTCCAACTCAAGGTCCATTATACAGTACAAAATAAAATACACAGTTTACACCACTTTTAATGTTAGAAAAGCTTTTTTAATTAAATAATAAGTATTTAACACGTGTTTGTTTTTGCATTGAATATTCAGATGGAACTGCATTGGTTATTATTATTATTATTATAGCATTCAATTACAGATGCAATTAGCATTTGGCATTAGTTTTGCTGTTGTATTTTTTACTTAACATATATAGCATATATGTGATGTGCGTATATAAAGTATAAATAGTTGTAATTAACCATTAAAGTCATAAGCAATGCAAAACAGTGAGAGAAGTCAGTATAATGCAATACACAAAACAATATACAATGACAATACTACACTACAATACTATAATGCCATTTAACACCAAAGCAATGTAACACTGAGAAATGAAAAGATAAATTCTCCCTTTCAGCCATAAAACCAGCTGACCATGCAGTAATTGCAGCTTCTGGCCACTCTTCTGTTTTCAAGTATAACCTGTTTTGTTTTCTACCCTCTTGCCAGCACCAGTAATAAGCTCTCTGTGGTTGTTGGGCTTTAAACATTGAGCTTCTGATCCTTTCTTGGTCGGAGGGTATACTTAGAGGGATCTAAAATACACTTACACATAATAAAACCTGTTGCTGATGTGCCATAACTGTTGTTCATTTAATGAAATTCTATTCCTAGTTACTTTTAGGAAGAAGCATGACACACCAAACCTGATATTCAGTGGCATTTCCTCCCCTCCCCCACTCAGATAAATTAAGATTCACACTCATGCCAGCCAACTCACACACACACCTGTGTGACATTTCCTCAGGTGGGTCGTCTGATCATTGGACACCATGGGGTAATGTCCACACCAGCCATCTCCTGCGTGATCAGGAAATACAAAGCCATCGGTGGCATCATCCTCACTGCCAGCCACAACCCCGGTGGACCAGATGGAGACTTTGGCATTAAGTTCAATACTGCAAATGGAGGTATGGTAACTGGAGATTAGGAAGCATGCAGGGGCATCGGCCAAGTGAAAAATAGTGTTACGAGCGGAGTGAAATGGACATTTAACAAGGCTGTGACCACCCCTCATTCAGATACAGACACAGTACTGAGATACAGCTTGGGACTTGTCTGGACATGAAATAAAAAAAGATCTGCATGGTTTTACCAATAAATATACCAAAAGAAAAAAACAGTCACCAGTATACTGAATGTGCATAGTTGTGGTTCTATTGTACATCACTACATTCAAATGTAATATCAGAGATGTCCTACTGTATCCAGGCCCAGCCAAGGAGGCTGTCACAAACAAGATCTTTCAGATCAGCAGGACCATTGAGGAATTTACCATCTGCCCGGGGCTGAAAGTGGATCTGACAACCCTGGGCAAACAGATGTTTGATCTGGAGAACAAGTTCAAACCCTTCACAGGTGAAGTGCAGCGTCAGTCTGTTGTCAATCACTTCAAATTAAGAGAAGATAGAGACAATGAGAGAAAAAGATGGATATATGGATGCTAAAGCAGTAAAGAATTGATGTTATTTTGCTACATTTATATATTAAAAAAACAATGTAATATCTGACTTACTCAATTTTTGCCATTCTTCAGTGATCATATTCATGATGGCATGTAAATGTATAGATTAAAAATACAGTTTTGTTTCTCATCTGTGGTCGTGTCCAGTGGAAATTGTGGACTCTGTGGAATCCTACGCTAACTTGTTGAGGAACATCTTTGACTTTGCTGCTCTGAAGGAGCTTCTATCTGGTGAAAGCCACATCAAGATAAGACTAGATGCCATGCATGGAGGTAAGAGAACATTTACCAAGAGCACGTGATATCATCAATATATTCTCTGTTAGTCTGAAAAGAAATGACAGAAAGATTATCCTGTCAAAACATGCACATTTTTCTTCAAAAGATTTTAGAGTTAGAGTTAAGTGCTGAGATGTGTCCTTACTGTGTACCTCTCATTGACCAAAAGGCAGTGCACTCAGATTCAGACACAGTATGACCTGTTTTTTAGGTTCTCTAGAAAAACAACATGTTTGTGATGCTTATGTTCTTCAAATGTTTACATGAGGTCAAATGTGACAGACAGGTCAAGCCACTAGTCAGTACACAAGAATCCGTTTGGCCTCTCAGTTACCAAAACATCCATCATGCATAATGTGTTGTTGGTTCATTGATCAATCATGATGCTATCCAAATCCAAACCATTGTATACATAATGGTTGTTCTTGGCATCATTATAACATTGGAGAGGTGGCATGTGGTAGGAACTGTTGACTGCAGAATATTACATAATGGTTAGGTTGCTCAAGCTGTTTAGAGAGTGTGCAAACACTGAAGCTGATGGTTAACCAATCACCCCCCCCCCCCCACACCCCTCCTTTCACCCACTCTTAATGCAACAACACAATATAAACCCTGTAACAGGAAGTGATGACAAGCGTTGTTGTTGAAATGGTATTTATTTAACAAGATACTATCTACCCCTATCACTGTGACCTTTCTCTCCAGTTCAATCACTCTCAAAACAAGCCACATTATTCAGGTATGATAACATTTGAGATGGACTGGAACACTAGTTTAAAGAATAGTTTGACATTTTGGAAAGTATGCTTATTTGTTGAGAGTTAGGCGAGAAGTTTCATCTTTACTGTACAGATATCAGAGTGGAATCAATCTTCTCATCTAACTCTTGGCAAGAAACAAATAAATGTATTAACCACTGTTGCTTTAAACAGAGTGACACCAGCTGGCCTTTTTTTAATGTTTAAAAAGCCAATCATGCTACTTTGTATAACACCATATTTGACTTCAGCAGTTCATCATTGTCTTTAAACCAGTCTTCTCTCATTACTCTATGTGACCTCTGTCTGCTCCCCAGTGGTAGGACCGTATGTGAGGAGAATACTCTGTGAGGAGCTCGGCTGCCCTGCCAATTCTGCCATCAACTGTGTCCCATTGGAGGACTTCGGGGGTCAACACCCAGATCCTAACCTCACTTACGCAGCAGATCTGGTTGACAGCATGAGAGATGGACAATATGATTTTGGTGCAGCATTTGATGGTGATGGGGTGAGTGCACTGTTCGTCTCTTTATTCAGATTTTGTAAAATTAAATCAAATAGATTTCTAACTGGACATAAAGGATCTTTCACATTCACATCTACAAGGATCCTGGGGCTGAACAGAGGGCCTTGAATTCTAATCTCTGTCTGTCTGTCCTGTAGGACCGTAACATGATCCTTGGTAAGCACGGCTTCTTTGTCACCCCACCTGACTCTGTGGCTGTGATCGCTGACAACATCTTCTGCATCCCGTACTTCCAGCATACAGGGGTGAGAGGCTTCGCCCGCAGCATGCCTACAAGCGCAGCCTTAGACAGGTAAAAAAACACAGCCTGGCTTTCACATCACTGCCAAACCCTATGAGCCAGTGATTTTACAAGTTGAAGCCATGTCAAACTTACAGTACTTTTGGTGTAAATAGATCTTTCAAAAAGATTTAAACATACAAAAGAACACACTGATAATGACAAGAATCATGTTATGTTATTTTAGGGTTTCACTTCTGTTGTTTTAAAGGTTCACTGTGCTTTCTTAAAATACTCAACATTCATTTTATATCCTGCAGAGTAGCCAAGGCAACAAAAATAGAGTTATATGAAACTCCCACTGGGTGGAAGTTCTTTGGGAACCTAATGGATGCAGGCAGACTGTCTTTGTGTGGAGAGGAAAGCTTTGGTACAGGTACTGTACCTCTTCAGCAAGTTATTAGATCTAAAGATGTTCATTCTCAATTGAAATAGTGAGGCGGGAATAAGACTCATGTTTTAGTTTGTTTTTTTCTGTGCATGGGAAACTTAATTGCATATCATCTTTCAGGTGGAGACCATATTCGTGAGAAGGATGGACTTTGGGCCGTGCTGGCATGGCTGTCTATCCTGGCCACTAGAGGGCAGAGTGTGGAGGACATTCTTAAGGACCATTGGCTAAAATATGGAAGAAACTACTTCACAAGGTGAGATTTGTTTGACAGAATTGTACTCCATTATCATCATCATCATCATCAGATGAACCAAAAAGAGAAAAAGTTAAAAAAAAGAGCAAGTAAAAGATAGTGGTAGAATTATGTCTATGTTTGAATAGTGTCCATTGTTTAGCTGGTACAGATGGAACGGATATAGGTGAGTGGATGACACAGAGACTTTAAAAGAATACATACAGAACATCACTGACATCTAGTGGAACTAGTGGAACCATTACATATTGTTTCAGGTCTTGCACTGTCCAATAAATGAAAATGTACAATAATGATCAGAATGGTCTGAGACTCTGATAATTATTATCCAGTGCATTCCTAAATTCTTAGTCTGCCTATGTTGACATCAGTATCTACTGTAACCAGAGATATTATCAGCTTGAGGCTGGTAATATCTGTCCATTGTATTAAATAAAAAAATAACTGACAACCCTGTCATGTTATAAAGATTTGTTCTGCTCACATACAAATATTATAAAAACACTATGTTGGCAAAAGGATTTACATCTGGTGGGTATTGTGGCTGCTTTATGCAAAAAGATTTGGTAACATTTACATTTACTTTACAAACATACAATAATAAACACTTATTCTGTGATTAATAGTTGTTGTTCTTTGCCCAGATATGACTATGAGAATGTAGACATAGATGCAGCTTGTGAGATGATGGAGGATTTGGAGATTATGATAGCTGACAAGTCCTTCGTGAAGCAGAGATTCGCTGTGGAAGACAAAATCTACCAAGTGGAAAAGGCAGACAACTTTGAGTACACAGACCCGGTAGACAGCACCATCACCAGAAACCAGGTACATGGCACACACTGAGCTCTATTCCTGTAAGGTTTTTATGCGCATGTATCCAGTAGTTACTAGGTATTTGGATTCACTCAGCGCTGGAACCACTCAGCTGTGCCTGCAGATCCTCAAAGCTTCACGTAGTCTGTACTGGGCTCTTTTCACTGCAGGGTCTGCGGATAATGTTCTCTGATGGTTCTCGAATCATCTACAGACTCAGTGGGACGGGAAGTGACGGGGCAACAGTTCGAATCTACATAGACAGCTATGAGAAGGAGCAGGTCTTTGAAGACACACAGGTAAAATATCTCACTCTGTTAGATCATTTCTGGTCTAATTTGGTCAAAATAGCCGACACATATCTAAATCCACAATACTGAAAAACAGTCTTTTGATTTGCATGAAACATGTTTTGCACTATATGAAGTGTTGACAGTGCTGTGTGGTTGAGAAGAACAGGACAGGCATAACCTCAAATATAAGGCCCAATTCAACCATTCACTATAGATATTCAAGAAAAAAATGCTGATTGATACATTTAGGCATTAAATATCTCTAAGTTACCATAGTACTAAACAGTACATGTCTGCTTAGAAAAAGTATTTATGAGGAGATGCATCATTGGCGTATGGCAGCCAGGTGCTTGAGTCTCCAACCGTATCATGCTTGTTTGGGACAGGTGATGCTGGCACCCCTGGCAACCATCGCTCTCAAGATTTCTCAGCTCCATCACAGGACAGGTCGAAGTGGCCCATCAGTCATCACATGATTCCTCCCTCCATTATTACTCAACTATTGCCATTCTTGTTTTTCTTTCCAGATTTTTGTATAAACTGAGCTTCAGTTCCAAGCGTAGCTGCACAACATGTATAAGTTTGCATTGTAGGCTTAAATGTATTCAGTGATTATCTCTTTACCACATTAAACTGCTTTTTATTTTTGGTCATGAGTGCCTTGTGTGTCTTTCTCATATATTGTAGGAGCACAATTCACTATTTCTCTTTTGTGTATAATTGTTCCAATTGTAATTTATACCAATGAGTCACTGGCAAAAAAGCAGCAGGGTTTCAAAATCATCAGCACTCCTAGTGATCAAAACAACCAGTCATGACATAATGTCATCCTATTAAATGCAGCATGTGGCTCTAAAACAACAGTTTCATTTCCTCTGCAAACGTCTTTTATAACACAGAGTTTTCTCATGTTGTTGTGGTAAATTGTGGCTGTGTACAATCAGGAAGTCAGTTTTATGGTTCTGTGGAGGCAGCGCTGAGGACTGTTGAGAGGTTGATTTTGAAGCGCCCATGCAGCCACTGCTCATTTTCAAAGTAAAGAACTGGGTGTTTACTGCCACGAAGCCTCAAATTATTATTTGGATCATCTGTACTCCATCATTAGGGAAATTAACTCATCAGCAAATAACAACCTGAAACTGCAGTCACAATCTTGAGCACAGACACAAGCACAGACACTGTTAAGACCTCAGATGTACAAATCCAGGGGTGAGAGGAGCAACAATTGAATAAACCCAAGATAAAAGAAAGACGGAAAAACAGAATTATATGTACAAACAAAATATTTAATAATCGTATAACCCAATCGTATTTTACTTACAAATTAAAAGCTTAACGTGCCAACAGAAATCTACTTGCTTAAAATAAAAAGCAAAAATAACTATAGGCTAACAATCAGAATCAGAATCAGAAATACTGGTGCAGAACAAAACACTACACTCAACAGACACAAAAAATAACTTTGTTAATATGTTACTTTTATTTTTATAATATTGCAACTTATTTACTACAAGAGACATTTAGGCTAATAGGTAACACTTTAAGTGGGACTTATCAGGCTCTGGCTACAGGATTTCCATGTGGACACAAACAGCATCAGCCCGCTAACATCTGGTCCAGCTCTGTGATCACTCATGCCCTTTGAAGTACTGCACCTTTCTTCTGGTTTCATCTCCATATAACACCAAACCTGAAGCCCAACAAGTCAAGATCTTTATTGTCATATGCACAACAATTACAGTGAAGCAGTCACTGGCAATGAAGTTCTTAGATCAACAGTGCTCTTACAGATATGTATAAAAACAATATATATAAAGATCAAGTAAGAAAATATGAGGGAGGCGCACTACGCTCTGGTTCATCTGAGGTCATCTTATTGTGGGTTTTATTTCCAGTAAAATGTTCAGTGGAAGTAAGGTTAGAGATTGTACCAATGTGTGAACAAAGAAATCACTAACATTGCTCAACATTGCTCAATGATCTTAAATAACGGATATATAAAAACAGTTTAACATTTACATTTATGTGTTAACGGAAGAAAAAATTAAACAAAAGTTACCACAATTTAGAACAGACTTTTTCATTACAGACATTTGGACTTGTCATAGTAGGAAAAGAGCATGTGTTAGAAATAACGATAACAATGGCTCTGTGTCCCAATGTGACAGTGAACCTGCATGCACAATACCAGGACCCTGAAACTGAACCTAACTTCAAAGACTTTAAAACAAATATATGAAAACCATTAAAAACTGAGTGATTCAAGTAGAATGGTAAGTTATAACACAGTGTCTAATACTACAAATAGTGTATAATAGTATTGTGTATTATAATAATACATAACAATACATATGGCACACAGTGGTGGAGGAGTATTCAGATCCTATCTGGCTGGTTAAGCTATGAATATGCTCCCATTGGGTAGGTTAACATATAAAGGAGCATTATATCTATAAGATGATCTTATGTTCTATGAGAAACTTAATCAGCAAAGTAACTACTTGTGTAACTAGAGTGATCAGAGTGGAGTAGTAGAAGTAAAGCTCTATTTGAAATGTAGGAGAGTAGAAGTATGAAGTACCTTAAAATTGTAATTAGCTACAGTATTTAAATAACACTACACCACCTGATAACACGTGGGTGTTAATCAAGCCCCCAGACCAGCACTGCACAGTCGCGTGCTCATCGTCACGAGGGATGGCAGCAACCATGTTAGCAAACTTTATTAATCAACCAAAAAAAAGTAATTAATCTGCTCACAAGCGGATGATTAAAATGATAATGATGATGATGATGATGGAGACTCGGCAGCACCTGGTGATGTTCAGGTGTGCCTTCACGTTCAGTTCACGGTTGCTGAGCTACTGTCGCTTTAAGAAAGTCACGTGACCAAGAAGGAAACCCCCGATGGAGGAAGCAGGAAGTTGGTTTACCAAGAAGGAGAGCACATAAACAATACACAAAGAACTGAACAAAACTCAAGAAGAACGTTTCACGCATTTATCGCAATGGCCGGCATTAAAGGTATTTTAGTTCTTACGTGCACGAGTCAGCTGGCAGTTATGTTCATTGAGTTACGCAGACGCTCTTCTGTTGCGTCAGAGCTTCAAAAACTTTGTTAGCTTAGTTTTCAACGTTTCTGAAAACGTTTGCTGAATCATTTCGAAAGCCATCACCACACATAACACTGTCTAAGGATAGTAGGATTCGTTAGATCCATTTTTAAGTTATTAACTTGTTTTAAGTTGTAATTTATTGCTATTTTTTCTACAGTAAAATTGTCTTAAATGTTGACTTAGCATACAAACAAATGTCATAGTGTTAGGAACCTGGCGTATTTCTCTATTGTCTCTCACTTAACTTTGGACAAAAGCATCTTTGCCGATATAATATTATGTAATGTAATGTTTGTGTTCTTTCAGCACTGGTTGGTTTGTCCTTCAGTGGTGCCATTGGACTTACATTTCTTCTACTGGGTTGTGCACTGGAGCAATACGGGTAGGTTATTTGTTATAAGTAAATATGTATGTATGCTATTGTGTGACACAGGCTTAACATTCAGGATAAAAGGATAGTTCAGATGTTTTTTCCAGCGAAATCACGGTTAATCAGAGAGATATGAACAGCAAGAACAAAAATACCCTTAAAGGAGTACTCTAGCAATTTAGTATTGCACTTTTCATGAAGTTGAGGGACTTTTAAGAACCAGATTTAAAAAGAAGCGTCAAAAATGAATGCCACAGAGGCCTAGAAATGTAATCTCTTGTATGGGTCAAGCTCCAGAAATGCTGCATTCTACAATTTCCATAATGCAACTCAATAGCCGTTCTTTTCATCTCCCCTTCTCAAAGGCCACTTTCTTTCAGAACCCCACCGCTCCTACGTTTCTTCAGATTTTATGACAATCTCCTCCAGAGTCACACAAGACATACAATTGTTTCTTCTACCCAGGCAAAGTAAACTTTTTTTTTGTTTTTGTTTTTTTTACTTCTCATGACATGTTAACTGAGCTTAGTTTGTAAAATGTTTAGTTCTGTTGTGAATGGTTAAATACTGTTGCAAACTCATGCCCATCGTATGTCATAAGTATGGACCACCCTTTAACTGTTCCACACCTGTTTCTGCAGGAAATACTGGCCGCTGTTTGTCCTGATTTTCTACATTTTAAGTCCCATCCCGACCTTCATATCCAGACGCGTCAGTGATGACACCGAC